TGATTGGTACCATTAATCATTGGTACCATTAATAATTGGTACCATTAATGATTGGTACTGATTATCATTACTACTATTCATTACTGAATCTACAAGTAGGTGGTTGAATTAATTACTGGTACCAAAGATTAGTGGTACCATTAAATGCTGGTAACAGAAATTGGTGGTACCATTAATCATTGGTACCATTTATTATCACTACCATCAATAGTTCAGCAAGTCAGTTGTGCCAGTAATCATTGGTACCAAAAATTTATGGTGGTCTTAATAGCTGATACCAAAAATACCATTAATCTTTGGTACCAAAAGCCATTGGTGGCATTAATTGTTGGTACCAAAAATCAGTTTTTTTGCTAAATTAATTACATTTTTTATATTACTTACTATTATTGAATGTAATCGATATAGAAAATTTAAGAATAGATATTTTCAAAATTAAAGACGCTAAATTTAGTGGAAAAAAATGTATTATTTTCGATTGATGAATATAAATTTTTTCAAGTGGATATTAAGATGCTGATTGTGAGATTCTGATTAATCTCGAGATGCATTCTCGATTCATTGTTTTATTGAAGGATCGTTAAACTGCGACCCCTCTCTATCTCTGTCACATCTAAATCGCAATCATTGCGCAATGTGTATAAGCCACTGATCTTAATCACCACTGAGCATCCTCATGCGAAAAACTTGTCTCTTCAAACTTATATTGGAATGATCTATATGTCTTCATTCGCCATCAGGCGGAATAACTTCCATCTCATGTGGTTTTCCTTTTTAGTTTTATTCCCCCTTTTTTTATTTATTGTTTTTTATTTATTGATTAAAAAATTTTAATTATTTTTATTATTATTACTATTAATATTTTTATTCTTATTAATATTATTGATAAAAGAAAATTTTAAAGCCATATAATTTAAATAATAAAGATCTTAGACTTATATTCTTTTTTTATTACTTATTTGTTTGTTATTAGTATTATTTTTTATTATATAATTATTATTATTAGTAGTATTATTATTATTAGTATTGCTATTATTATTTCATTTTTAATATTAACAAAAAATTGAAAGAAAAGTAAAAAATTTTCACATTCTCTATGCATGAGATGATATTTTCACTGTGCATGCAATTTTTTTTTTTACGTAACCACGTAATTTTCTTTTTACATTCACTTATATATTCATTATAAGATTTCCCAATAATGCATTGAACGTTCGCCACCTCTTTTCAAAAAGTGAAATTCGTCACGTTCTCATCGTAACTTAGTGGATAATAAGCAGTTTAACAAAGTGAGAACGTCCGTTATTCTGGTGAAAATGGGTTTGGTGGTTCGTTAATTGAAAAGAAGAGCAACCACACATTATGCATGAAGTACGTGTCAAAAAAAACAAAGAAATAATAATACTTTATAAAGAAGATTCACCCAAATTCGACATGCAATAATTGATTTAAGATTTTACGAAAGTTTTTATTGAAAATAAGTACTTTCACATTGTGTAAAGTTTGTACACGAAAAGATTTGTTGGAAAAAACTTTCGATCAGTTAAACTGTATGTATATTATGTAAAAAAAAAGTATGAATGTGGGTAAGGAAGGGAAATATTCTTTTGTAATTCGTACGCCCTATTTTTCATGCTGTCTAAAGTCAAAAATTAAAAATCACTGAGCCACCAAAAGTAAAATTTAATTACCTACTTAATGCTACCATTATTGCTACCAATACTATTACCATTATTAGTACTATTACTATTACCATTATTATTATCATTACTGGTACCATGAATAGTACCGTTATTATTACAATTATTGATACCATTATTTTTTATCATTATCTATTAAAACTATTATTCGTTGGCACCAATATTTATTTGAACTATTATTCGTTGGTACCATTATTTATTGAAACTATTATTCATTGGTACCATTATTTATTGAAACTATTATTCATTGGTACTATTATTTATTCGAACCATTATTTGTTGGTACCATTATTTATTCGAACCATTATTCGTTGATACCATTATTTATTCGAATCATTAATCTTTCGTACCATTATTTTTTGGAACCATTTTTCTTTGGTACCATGTTTTGTTCGTATCTTCATTTATTGTTAGCATTTTTAATTGGTGCCATTAATTTTTAGTTCCATTAATTGTTGGCACCATAAATCAGTAGTGCTACGAATCATCGGTATAATTAATCTTTGGTACTATTAATCAATATTTCTCGTCCAAGGGACCAATGGTACCAATGATTTGGCCTCCAAGGAACCAATGGTACCAATTGTGGTACCATTGTAAAAAAGAATCCGTATGATTTTAATCCTATGTATTAGTTGTGACAGATTCCCCCTCCTAAAAAAAATGTACAAAAAAAGAACAGAAAATAAAATGTAAATTGATTTAGTAATTCTGCAAAACGGCAAAAAGTATCCAAAAAACTAACGGAGAATAAAATTCCCCAGGAATAATCGCACTGATGAATGCTTTCTCTGATTGTACGGAATGAAAAATGATTTAGAAAAACAGCTAGAACCAAATTAGGCAAACTCAACTACACAATGTTGTCAAGGATAATTGTAAGATTGATGACTAAATCGTTTATTTTCAAGATTAATTTTCCCCTGATCATTTGTGAAATGGATAGAATCTTGAGTTGGAATTGCCAATCGACAGTTTTATAGTGCAACCTTCCTTAATTTGAAACCAGTGGTTATAATGGTGGTGATAGTGTGTAGTGATTCTTTCTTTTTCCCTTTTCCCCTCCCCACCCATTTCTCTCTCAAATGATTGGCTGTAAAATCTCAATTGGATTCGACGACTTCCATTTGTTTCATGTACTCTCGTATTCGACAGAAGATTGATTAATTTCAAGGCTAAGACGAGTTTATCTAGTGACGACTTCTTGGGTCGCTAAGAAATCAGCCCTAATCTGGCATTGCTCTTGGAATTAATGAGACTCGTTAAAACCTGGGACGTTATTGATTTTCTACGACCTCAAGAGCCGATCCTACCACCATTAATGTCTCGTAGTCCCTTCCAAGTTGGAGCAAAAACAATAGTAGTCAACGGTCATAGGATGACACTGACTAGTAGGTACAGGGTTTGACGTTTGAAGGAAGAGGAGAGAGAAACAGAAAGAGGAATAGAACGAGAAAAAGAGACAGAACCAAAAAGAGGGACAGAGAGAGAAAAAGAGACAAGAGAGAGAGAGAGAGAGAGAGAGAGAGAGATCCAAAGGTGCGGTGTGATTGCAATGACTGTAGTCATTGAAGGATATATTGCCCAAGTGGTATGTGGCGCTTTTGCACATTGCACCATGGCCGCTCCCGTTATTGTTGCTCCTTTCTTGCTGTAAGCATCTTGACTTCTGAATCCTCCATCTGTCCGATCGGATCTTCTTCGTATGGCGATGATCGATTTAAAAAGAAAACGAAAAAAAAAGAACAACAAAAAGAAAGAAATTGAAATGGAAAAAAAACATCAAACAACTTCAAGACGAATAATAAAAGAGTCACTTCTCTAAGAGACTCTCGCGGTACTCAAAGGCATTCATCTCAAGATCGATGTTGTTTACAGATCGATAGCAAATCGATTTCGACTTACAGATTTTCATCAAACTCTATGAAGTAAAGAATTGAGTCTGATAATAGATTTCCTGCTCGTTTCTTCACCATTAATACAAACATGTGCATACAGATTGAATAGTTTCAATTCAGATTAAAAGATTCATTGTGAATTTGTTACGAAAATGCTATTCTGATAGGATCGTGCCAAAAACTTCCAATCCAAATTCCAAGAAGTTTAAATACCACCCAAATGTAGATTTAATCATTGGTATCATTGTTTGTTCTTTAGATAAATTATTGGTTACAACTAATAGTTGTACTATTATAACCAGTCATGATTGGTACCGCTGATTAGTATTATTAATCGTTATTGCTACTGAACATTAATGCTACTAAATGGTAGTAGCATTAATCGTTAATGCTATTAATCATTAACTAATGGTACAATTATCTTTGGTAACATTAATTATAGGTAACAAATTATTGGTTCCATTAATCGATGTGACCATCAATCGTTCCTATCTTTGACCATTGGTACCATTAATTGTTGGTATCATTAAGTTTTCGTACCACTAATTATTGGTACCATTAATCATTAGTGTCACTATTTTTTTTCAACAATAATAATTGATACGATTAATCATTGATGCAACTAGTCGCTGGTGCTGTTAATTCTTGCTATAATTAATTGCTGATATTATTAACCTTGGTACCACTACTAATTAATGGTACTACTTTGAATTGTACCAGCGACAATTGCTGGAGCATTAATAATTAGTACCATTAATCATTGGTACCAGTGACTATCACTGGTAGCATTAATCATTGGTGCAATTAATCACTAATAGTGATTATCAACGTATAGTATCAACGTTTAGCAAAACGTTGGTAGCACTAATTAATAATGATACTAATTGATGATACAATTAATCTTTGGTAGCATTAATAATTGGTAGCACTAAACATTGGTAGAACAAATTTTTGGTACCACTAATCATTGGTACCATTGATCAATGGTACCAGTGACTATCACTGGTAGCATTAATCATTAGTAACAGTGACTATCACTGGTAGCATTAATCATTGGTAGCACTAAACATTGGTAGAACAAATTTTTGGTACCACTAATAATTGGTACCATTGATAATTGGTACCAATAATCATTGGTACCACTAATCATTGGTACCATTAATCATTGGTACCATTAATCATTGGTACCATTAATCATTAGTACCTCTAATCATTGGTACCATTATTCTATGGCGCTAATAATCTTTGGTACCACCATAAAAATCTGGTACCACTGATCTTTAATTACGTAATAAAAAATTAATGTAAAATATTGAATGAGTAGAAAATTATAAAATAAACCTAATGTGAAAAAAAATAAATGCGAAGCAATTAGTAAAAAAAATGATTTTCTATGTTTCAGTGTTTTTCATAAGCGACCAGCTGGGATAGTCTGCAATCAAGGCCTCGGTGGAAGGGGTAATGGCGGTGTTGGTGGCAATGGAGCAAGTTTGGGCGTTGACAGTGAATGTGGAGATGCGTTAAAACGACGTAAAGTTCATCGATGTGATGTAGCAGGATGCGACAAGGTTTACACAAAAAGTTCACATCTCAAGGCTCACAAAAGAACTCATACCGGTAAGTAATAAAAGTACATTTTATCCAATTACCATTCTTGTATTAAACGAAATAAGTCTTTTTATAGTAAATGCCAATGATCAATTAGAGACACCCTTAATCAAATGAATGGAGGTGATTGGCTGACAAAATTGGCGTTCCAACGTTCAATAGGCTATTGAATAAACATGAAAACTTCCATATTTGATTAGGATTGAAAGAAGGGGGTGAAAGGGGGGCAAATGAGAGGGAGAGAAAAAAACACGATTTAATGAACAGTGTGTGTGAGTGTGTGTACTAATAAAAACAACTATCTTTTTCTCCATTAGAATCTAATAACAAAAAGTGGTCTGTTAATTACTGTCAATCTCGTTAATTATCATTATTATTCTCTGATAGGAATCACTGCCATTGAATTTATAATTGGCATAAACGCTTTATATATATATATATATGCATTTAAAATGTATAATTGTTCAATTAGATTTTAATTGTATGAGTTAAAATTTTGCAAAATTATGCCGAAATTATTTAATTAATTCTGACAATTAATTAATTTGTTAATTATTCCAAAATTGTTTTTTCTAAACTTTTGATAGTTCTATGGAAATTAATTCATTTGTTTATTAATTATACGGAAATTATTTACACTAATTAATTCATTTATTAAATATACAAATTCATTAATCTGTTAATTAATTATTTTAATTAATTAATTTGTTTAATTATTTTATTTTATTCAATTATTTAATTAATAATTTTATTAATAAATTAAACGGAAACTAGTAAATTTGTTAATTAATTGATTTGGTAATTAAACGAATTAATTAATTTCTTAATGATCTGAATCAATTCATCATTGTTAATTAAATAATTGCAATTAATATTCAATTAAAAAAAGACAAAACAATCAAACTACTTTGATTGCAAGCACCAAATATGGTTTTTTTTTAAATACTTAGGGCAATTAACCATTTAATTAAGTTTCAAATTCTTTTTTTTCTTTTTATGAGCAAAAAAAATTGTTTTCTTTTATTGCTCAAGAATTTTGATAACAAACCGCAAATTTAATTTCGAAGCACTTAATTAAATTAAATATCTCGTATTATATAAAACAAACTCATTGTCAAGTGTGCGGCGCTTTTGTTTTGTTGGTTAACGAAATAAAAGAGGGAAAAAAAGCTATGGCGCACAAACTAGAGTAATTGCTCTCTAAAGGACAATGGCACGCTATATTATTCATTATCCATTAGGAGTTGGTTTTCCCATTTTAAAATGCGGATATCTGTGCGGATCTTTCAACTAACTCGATCAACATAAATGGTAAAAAGAAATCACTTCATTTTTTTTCTACTATATTTTTTTTTTTTATTTTTATTTTCTTCTGCCATGAGTTTACACCGCGAGCCTTTCACAGGTTTCAGTAATTGACTAATTACTGAGACTTTCCCACGTTGAGTCATCGCAATACACTTAATTGCCTTCTAACGCCTAGTCGATTAGTCGAAAATAATTAAGCCAATCTCGCTGACTTTTTTACAATTTTGCATTTCAAAATTGTGCAGGCATTCGAAATTAATTGGCAGGTTGGGCGAAGATAAAAAAGATGATTTGATGTTTGCATATATACAAAGTATCAGGGGAAAGTAATTTTTTCTTGGTATAAAATTATTATTGCTGGTACCACTGTTTGATATTGGTGATTACTGGTATCAGTGATAATTGTTGGTAATAATTATTGGTACCAGCAATTATTAGTACCAATAATTATTTTCATGAACAATTGTTGGTACCAATAATTATTTTTATGAAAAATTGTTGGTACCAGCAATTGTTGGTACCAGCAATTATTGGTACCAATAATTATTTTCATGAAAAATTGTTGGTACTAGCAATTGTTGGTACCAATAATTATTTTTATGAAAAATTGTTGGTACCAGCAATTGTTGGTACCAGCACATATTGGTACCAATAATTATTTTCATGAAAAATTGTTGGTACCAGCAATTATTGGTACCAATAATTATTTATATGAATTATTTATATTTATATTGGTACCAATATTTTTGCTAACAAATAATAATTAATGATACCACAAATTATTCTTATAAATAATTATTGGCATCAATATTATTGATACCAGTAATTATTGGTAACAAAAGTTGCTGGTACCATTAATTAATGGTATTAATAATTACTGGTACCAATTATTCGTAACACTTATGATTAAAAGTAGTTAAATTAGTCTCCAAACCGTGGAGACTATTTCTTTTATAGCAACAAGAAAATAAATAAAATTGAGTTATCATTAATTATTATAATTAACACATCCGCCTCCTAATTAGAGATAAATTCAGAAAAACATTAAAAATTGTAATTTATAACTCAATAACAGTTAGACAATTACTTAATAGCAATTGAAGAAAAATTATCGTCTTTCCGCACTGATTAAAATCGCTTTTGTACATAAAATTTTTCATTATGATTTATTGTGGATTTTGAAATATTTTATTGTTTTATGTTTTGAAGAGAGATAAAATTTATCCGTTCTGAAACAATAACACGTACGTGTCTTTAATCTTACGTGTTATATCGTTCTTTCGAGTCGAAAGCTGTGGTGCTGTGGTTCGACTTGGAGTTTCCGGTGTAGATGAGTGCCTTCGTGCCTCCACAGTAACGTCATCTAAAAGAGGCACAAAAGTAGTGGGGAGGGCGTGGTCGTGAGAACCAGGATCTTTTGTCTGGTCCAGAGAGTCAGCCATTGAGTCGAGGTGCTCAATTCAATTCACTATTATCTTTATAACGTTTTCCTTGTTAATTACTGAATTATCTGATTAAATCAAACTCTCCATTCTCTCTCTTTCTTTATGGGATATCGAGGATTTTCTATTCACTTCCGGTTTTATAAAAAGGTTTTCAAAGACGAAAAATTCTCTAGGAAAAAAAAATATTTTTTCACCCACTTAACAATCAGTAGGGAAACATTATAATAATCAAAATAAAAATAAATAATAAAAATATAGTAATAAAAAAATAATAGTAACAAAATAATAATAAAATTAATAATAAAATTAATAATAAAAATAAATAATAATAACAATAATAGATAATAATAAGCAAAAACAAAACATTAATTTTTATTAACTTTATTGTTCTATATTTAAATTATTTATTATAATTGCAATTACAAACAATAAACAATTGTTTATTCAGGGTTGCCACAAATATTTAATTTTATTTTTCCCTGACTTTTCCCTCATTTCTAGACAAAATTTTCACTTTTTCCCTGACCCTAAAGAATATTCTGAATCACTCTAAAAATAATAAGATAGGGGAACATAGTCTAGGTCGGCCACCTTTTTGACTTTTGTTTATAACTTTTTTTTAAAAATGAATTTGGACAATTGAAGTATATGGTTGGAAAGTCCTGTTTAATAGGAACATTTTTTCTGTACAAAGTAAATTGACAGGTTTAAAAATGAAAAAGTTATAAAGATTTAAAAAAAAAAAAATTTGTAGTCCAGGTTGGCCATTACAGTCAAGGTCGGCCATGTTTAAAATTCAAAGGGCATTAATCGTTAAAAAATAAAATAACATGTTTGGAGTTACGGAAAATTGATTCTTTATTGTTTACAGTTTGTAACTTAATGAAATAACAAAATAATAACAATAAACAATATAAAAAAATAAATATAAATAAAAAAAAGTTTTGCACTAAAATATTAATAAAATTAAAAAAAAATATTAATAAGATGATCAATTATATTATGAGTTATACAGAATTGCAGTTTTTGCAAATGAAGTAGCTCGTCCTCAACTTTGCGCATTTTAAACACATAGTGGCCGACCTTGACAGTAAGTAACATTACCGAATTGTTGTAAACAAAAAGAAATACGTTTCGGGATTCGATTTTTTACTTTGTTTTCCTTTCAACCATGAGTCCCACAAATTTTCTGCATACTTGCCTTGACGATTCAATTTGTTTTTTATCTTTTATTAATGGTTTTTCACATTATGCACAAAACTTTTTTTGAGCTTTTTTTGTACCGACGTCACAGAAAACACAATTTTCGATTTTCCGAAAATGTAATTGAACAAAAAGTTAGGTTTCACTAAGACAAGCTTCGACAAAAATGCGCGTAGGTGGCGCTAGTGAACTTGACAAAAAAACGCGAGTGGCCTACCTAGACAGTAGGCCAACCTTGACTACATTCCCCTACTCAAAAAATGTTCTATTACATTTATTTACAAATTTCTTTAAATGTAAAATTATTCAAAAACATCAATAACTTCTTTTTTAAATAAATATTTAATCATTATTATTTTTCCGTTGGAATTAAAATTCTTCAAAATATTCAAATTCAAACCTTTTTGAAATTCAACAACTTATAAGAATATTATTACAAAACATGAAGAAGGCGATCAATCCGAGTCTTCGACTCGGAGTGATCGCCTTCTTCATGTTTTGTAATAATTTAAATTACCATAAAACTTTTCGAAAAAAAATTAATTATTTACAAAAATCCTTCGCAAGAATTCAATTATTTTTACAAGTCGTAAAATTTCTCACAAAAAATCAATTATTTAAAAAAAGTGTAATAATATTCGTTGCATTATTATTTGGTAATTTATTTATAAATCAATTTTTCTTAGAAAATTCTAGAAGAATTCAATTATTTAAATTAAAAATTAAATAATTTATTGAATAATTGAATGTTTGTCAAAATTTAATTCTCATAATGAATTTTATCAACAAATTTTTAAATAATTGAATTCTTTTGACAAATTTTAATAAAATCTTTAAGAATAATTCGATACCTCCATGTATTACAATCCTATCTTACGGTGAAGGTTAATACAGTCCTATCTTGCGGTAACGTTTTATACAGTTCTATCTTGAAGTGACGGTTTATACCATTCTATCTCAAAATTTTCAATTTTTCAGTTTTTTGCTAAAATTATAGAAGAAAATATTCTGTATTAGATGGTAACACCTAAAATAGTTATATTAATTAGGATA